CCTAAAAGCAGTAAAATATTAGCAATAATGCTGCATTATCAAATCAAACTCACTGGTTCACAGATAAACAGTCTACAACACAAGTGTGACTCTGAGCTCAGTGACCTTGTCAATGAGAGACAAATGTGTGCAGATAAGACAAATAGATGAAAATCAAATGGAAAAACAAAGAAAAGACAGAAGAAGGAGGAAGACAAGACATTACAGAAAACACAGGGTGAGCTTGTAGGAATCAACAAAATACACACCAGGTAGAGAAATATCATCTCTATAGGGAAACTCAATCAGAATAAAATAAAAGTTGGGAGATTTTCCACTTACCCATCAGAATCAGCAGAAACAGACTCCACCGCATCTTTAATCTGCCGGATTAAATAAATATTTCATTAGATAATGAAATCATGTTTCATTTCATAGATGGTCTGGTTATAATCATCATTATAATCTGGGTGTACAGATTGGAAGTTCAGCTTCACCCAAATGCAGACACGAGCAGGCAGCCAGAGTTTAACAGGAAGTGAACCGTTTATTCAACTGATGGCAACAAAAGAACAAACGCAGCAAACATCCAAAGGGTGAAAATGTAAATTGTAAATGTTTTACATCACTCATGTATACATCAAAACATAGAATTAGGCTTTATCACTGTTATCACTGTTGTAAAAATACTCCATGCTGCACTAATACAGAGGTGTCTTATTGTTGAGGTCAGGAGCTGCCAGATCTGTTTTCTCTGGTAGTCTGCATGCATGAAAGAGTCTCTGCTTAACATAACTGATATTATATTAAGGCTGATTCTTCGGTTTAAAGGTGCTTTTCTTTTAAATCCAGTCTGCAGCATACCTTAGAAATTGATTTTTGAAAATATATAAATATATATAAACACAAACAAACACAAAACATGCAATGAATTACAGATTTCAAACTTACATCTGGTTAGTCGTTCGGGCCTTCGTCTCATTTGGCCTCTTTCCTCGAAGGGTTCAAATAAATACTGAAATAAAAGCAAACACAGAGAGCTCATTATGCAAAGATTGGAATTTAAATATTAAAATACTGCTGCTGCTTTCAGAAAGATCAAGATGAGGGAGTTTTTACACGTATGAAAGCGGTATTCTGTTGCGTGTTATTTATTTTAGAGCAGACAGGAAACAGGAAAATAGCTTTTTCCTCAATGATTGAATTGAATAAAAACTGTATAATTTTGTTGTTGTCTCTTGTTTTTGAACTGACTTCTCATCATATACTTTCACCAATGAAAAATCTGATGATGGTTTGGATCATTTATATGCAGAAATATTGAAATGATGGAAATATGTATATTTTTATTGTGAGCTTGTTCTTTACCTGAGTGTTTTATCATAATGTTACTTTACAATTTTCTTACTTTTGCATGTAAACACTGAAACACTGCTGATAAAATAAGACCAGAATCTGTGGATAATTTGCTTTTTATTACTTGTTTTTCATTTAAAATGACTTTTGCAATTATTGGATGTCGTCACTTACAGTCTAATGTCTCTGAACTTTCCCACACACGTTGGAGAATATGACTGTTTTTCAATAACTATCATTAAGAGATTATCTTAATTTTCATATGAACACATTTTTAACTGTACATGTAAAGTTGTAAATCCTCCCAGTGTGGACCATATGTAAAATTTTAATGCAAATTTCTCTGAAATGATTACGAGATAAACATGTGAGCAAATGAGCCAAACGCTCAGAAAACTTCCCACGAACTCTAGTCGTCTGCAAAAAAACCTCAAATATATATATTTTTTGAAAAGTGATCACAAGCATGTTCTTATTGTGATAATTGTTTTCATTAAATGAATGAATTAAGGATAAAAACCATTAGAGGTTCATAATAAACTGACAATAAATGTAATGTGTGGGAATAT